TGAATAATATGTTGTTTGATAATTAATTTGATAAATTAATAAATTTATTTTCAATAATAGTTAGTCTTTTGAAATATGATATTTTAATTAAGACATCGGAGAGAAGCTTTAAATATTAATGATTTATAAAGAATTTCGTAGAATTAACACAAGAATTGAAGTGAAAAATAAATTAATAAATTTGAGCCAAGAATTTAAAGACAAACAAAAACTTTAATAAATATCCAATACAACAGTTAAATTATTAAATGATTTTTGTATAATTATAATGATGTATACAGTATACTAGTATAATATCAACCCCCTATAAACCTAATGATATTTTCGAGCCATAGATCATTTTGTCAACAAGTTTCAGGGGGTGTTACATAATATTACCCAATCTGGGCACTACTGATGTTGAATACCGTTTGGCTTTTGATAATAAAGAATGTATTTATGATATATTTATATATTATTAATCAAATGAAAAAATATTTAACTATTATCTCCAATTGAGCTGTTGTTGACCATATCTCTGGACACTTTTGATATATAATTTAAGGTCTGATGAGTTAATGTACATATTTGTGAAAAGTATATTTATAATACAAATTCGTAATATATAAATTTAAAATAATTAAAATAGCAATATAATATATGATAACTGTGTATATTTTCTAAAACGAAAGCAATAGATTATTTTGATATTTTATATATTATTAATACACTAATGAACACATAATCAATATTTATTAATAACACTGAATTCTGTTAAGTTTTGAATACATGTATTAATTTAAGTAATATGGTATATAATAGTATAGTATATGATTAAATGTTATATAATAATCTATTTTATATGAAATAATATAATAATGTACATACTTGAAAATAATCTTATAAATATATTTAAAATTGTTTAAAATTGTATTGTACAACAATGACTAGTGTAGAAATTTGTTCATTACTTTTCTTAAGATATATTTGTGTCTTTTATGCAAGATTTATGAATTCATAAATACTTGAATAAACCATAAATTGTTATATAAAACTACGAATTGATAATTCACTTGAAAATGGTTGGACTCCTGACAGCCGGCGACGACTATATTTCAGTCTCAATCTGTCTCTCAATTGTCTTGACATCCTTTCCGTTCATATGCTTATTGTTCGTGCGGTTATATTTGGTATTCATTGAACTGAGTGTCTGTCCCTGGGTTTCCAACTCGTCCTCCTCCTCAGATCGACACACTTTGAACGTAAGGTAACATCTGTTCAGTAGTGACCTTAAGTTCATCTGCGAGAAAGTGGTCATCAAATAAATGCACACATAATTAGATAAGTAGATAAGTAGGTGTGTAATTGTTATATGTATATAAAAGTATTATAAAAGTCATGCATATGGTATGCCAAGTGGTATTTACTCTGAAGTTTTCGCTCATAAAGCAATAGCAAATTGGATTAACAGTCGAGTGAGCCATAGATATAAAATGACACGAGAAATACGATACAATGTATAATATGTAACCAAAACGAGTCTTCACTTTGAGAAATTTGGGATAAAAGTAGACCAATAGACTGAACACATGGATGGGTAGCCAACACACAGCGAACAGCAGTACGATAGTCATCAACATCTTAATCACCTGAATGTCAGTTCAAATCATTATCATTATTCGTAGACTTACCGAAGTGAATTATATTAATATTATGGGGAATATTTTGTGTAGCATTTTTAATATGAGATTAACTAATGAGTGAATGATGTAGACTACATCAATTTAATGTTAGTTATACTGTATTTATGCTCCAAAAAATTGTTTTCATTTTTTATTTATAAATTGAATGAACAAATGACAAATATTTTGAAGGAAACATATTTCTAAAGTTTGCTTTAAATGATTCTTTCGATCATATATTATAGTCGTATGAATACATGAATACCATTCTCTACATATTTTATTATTGTTTATTATTTGAATTTAGATCCATGTTATCTATAATGACATTCATATACTGTAAAACATACCTATGATTAGTAACAAATGAATGCGCGAGAGAATGAGACTAAATAAGAGAGAGAGAGAGAGAGAAAGTGAGAGAGAGAGAGAGAGAGAGAGAGTGTTAGAAAGCAGAACTCTTTGCTCATATCATTTGCATCGATTGGTTGGCTTTTGTATAATACAGTGAATCCCACGGTTAACCAAACGCCTACATGTTATTAGAAAAAGAGAGAGACTGTAGTCATATGTAAAATTATAAACTTATGATAATTTATTGATTTCTTTCAATTTCCACATTTAAATTACCTACATACTTTTTATATTTATACAAAATCTATTAAATCTATTCATTGAAAAATTCCAATTTATTTTTACAATATGTAGGAAATCTCAATAAAATACAGAATATTCTGGTATAAGAATAGGAAAGACATTTGTTGAATATTCCTACGACTACTAAACATACGCTCAGATATTATTAGATTTTCTAAAAATATTTTCTTAAGCAATTTTCTACCAAAATATGCGCTAAATTTAATTAGGCTTTTATCCACAATTTGGTTGACTACAAATAGGAATAATTTTATTAACATTGTGTTGACCAACAAAATATACCCAGGAGCAAACTAAAATTGTTATATGAATTTTATATTATATCACGAGATATACATTTTATTTGCATTTACTTTGATTTTAATGTGAACTTCATCATTAGTACTTATCATGTGTTTGAACTCTAAATTTTAAATTAAATTATGCTTTCATTAGCCGGCATGTTTGCCTATATTTTGTGAACATTTTCATTGCCATATATTTATTTTTAAGTGTATTACTTATAACATAAATCTTATAATCAAATTTTCAACTCCTTTGTTGACAATAATCTCGTATTAATTAAGTGTTAAAAACATTTCCCGGAATAATTATCGACACAATTTGCGGCGATGTGGGAGGTTTTCAAAGGGTCCTCATAATTGTATTAAACTTAATTTATTCATTAAAATAGGAAAACCTTTACATTTTGCAGATTCCAGACTGTATTTTGCATTTCTTACCATTAATTTTCAATAATTTTATTTTTATGTTTTAATAGAGTATTAAAAATAAAGCAATTTTTGAGGGAAGAATTCTAACATTACTTGAATCTAATGAATATTAAATTACATTTAAGCGTTCAAAACACATATTATTCTGTCGTTTTGTATGAAATTAATGGTTTTCTAGTGATTCTCTGTTACACTGTGTTTAGAAATGATAAAAAGTTTTTAGTCATTAAATATATCTCTTAAGTTTATACGATAGGCGCTCATTGGGATAGTCGATATTAATCGAAACCTGTGCTTTTCAATCATATACTACTTGCTAAAGGTATCGATATCGACTATCTATA